AAGATCAAGAATTTGTAGGTAATAGCTCCTTGATCTAGGAAAACAGTATGAAAAAAAAAACATAATCTCACACTACCCCTACAAATGAAGGTGAAATTGGTAAATTAGACTTTCTTAAGAAGAAACACAGCACACCACACAAGGGTGATGTCAGAGAACATTAAATAATGATATGAAACATTTCCAATGTTTCATTTTTAGTTTGTTTTGATTTCATATTTGTATATTATATTCGAGCTCCCTCCAGTTATTCATGTGAACCCCCACTTCTCAAATCTATGCTCTCCCTTGGTCCCTTTTTGATTTACTCATTTCTATGGTTACTCCAGGTGATAAATTCACATCTAATGAGTCAGAGCTAGGATGCACAAACAAGAGAGAACTGATGGTATTTGTCTTTCTGGCTCTAGGCTACTCATCTCACTCAGAATAATACTTTCTAGTTTGATATATTTATTTACCTGTAAATTATATGATTTTGTTTTTGTTTTTCTTTATAGATTCCATTGTCTATATGTACATTTTCATTATCCATTAATCAGTTAAGCATTTAGTTTTCTTCTATTTCTTATCTATTGTGAACAGTGTTAAACATGGCTGAGCAAGTCTCTGTGGAGTTAACATTTTTGAGATTCCATTTTTATCGGGGGGGGCGGGCAATTCTTTGTTCAGACCCATAGCTCATATAGTCTATTTTTAAATGGGACATTTGTGTTTTTTTTACTCTATTTTTTAGTTCTTTATATAGTCTGAATATTTATCCTCTGTATAGCTGGCACCCTTTTGAAAACTGTCCATGCTGGTTTCCAGAGAATGCAGACCAGTTTGCATTCTTACCAATAGTGCATGAGGGTTCCCTTTCACACACATCCTCATGAACATTTTTGTCATTTGTTTTATTGACCTTAGCTATCATGACTAGAGTAAATGAAATCTCAAAATAGTTATAATTTGTGTTTTTCAAATGACTAAGAACAATGAACAGTTTTTGAGATAGCTATTTTTAAATTCTTTTGAGAGCTCTCTGTTCAGACCCATAGGCCATTTTTTAATTGAGTCATTTGTTTTCTTTGTGCTTTTTTATACATTATGGATATTAATACTCTGATAGTTATGTATCTGACAAAGATTATCTCTCAGTCTGTGGGATTACTGTCCACTTGGTTGTTTCCTCAGCTGTATAGAAGGGTTTTTAGTTTTATAAGTTCTCACTTGCCAACAATTGTCCTTCATTTCTAAGGAAAATATTCTTATTTGGAAACTCCTCCTACATCTATATCTTGTAAGGCTATGTTTTCTTCTAGAAGTTTTGGTATTTTGCACTGACATCTTTGATCACTTTGGAGTTGGATTTTGTGCAGAGTGATAGTTTTAGGTCTAATTTTATTCTTTTGCTTGTGGACATCCAGTTTTCCCAGCATTATTTGTTGAAGATGTAGTCTTGCCTCCAATGTGTGTTTTTGGTATCTTTGTCAAATATCACATGTCAGTGGTGATATGTATTCATGGCTGTGTCTTTTAGTTTGTTCCATTGGTTTGTATGATCCTTTTTGTGTCAGTATCATATCGGTTTTATTACTATATTTCTGTAATATGTTTTGGAATCCATAAAAGGAACTTTTTTTATTAAAGATTTCTGTCTCTTCCCCACTGCCGCCTCTCATTTCCCTCCCCTTCCCCCAATCAAGTCCCCCTCCCTCGTCAGCCCAAAGAGCAATCAGGGTTCTCTGCCCTGTGGGAAGTCCAAGGACCACCCACCGCCATCCAGGTCTAGTAAGGTGAGCATCCAAACTGCCTAGGCTCCCACAAAACCAATAGGTACAGTAGGATCAAAAACCCATTGCCATTGTTCTTGAGTTCTCAGTAGTCCTCATTGTCCACAATGTTCAGCGAGACCAGTTTTAACCCAGGCTTTTTCAGACCCAGGCCAGCTGGCCTTGGTGAGTTCCCGATAGAACATGCCCATTGTCTCAGTGTGTGGGTGCACCCCTCGCGGTCCTGAGTTCCTTGCTAGTGCTCTCTCTCCTGGTGCTCCTGATCCTGAGTGAGGTAAGCCAGACCCAAAAAGAGGAACATGGGACGTACTCACTCATATTTGGTTTCTAGCCATAAATAAAGGACATTGAGCCTATAATTCGTGATCTTAGAGAAGCTAAATAAGAAGGAGAACCCAAAGAAAAACATATAGGCATCCTCCTGAATATTAACCTTCATCAGGCGTTGAAAGGAGACAGAGACAGAGACCCACATTGGAACACCGGACTGAAATCAAAAGGAACCATTTTTAGCATTGTTTTTCCCTCCTCAGTATTTTTTGGGCTATCTGGGGTCTTTTGTGGTTCCATATGATATTTGGATTTTTTTTATGTTTTTGTAAAGAATTTTGTGAAGCTTTTGCTTTGGGGATTACATTGATTCAGTAAATTGCCTTTGGTAGAATAATCATTTCCACAATGTTAGTTCTACTAGCCCATAAAAGGGGGCACTTCATCCTAAACATATATATCAAACTCTGATGCATCCAATTTCATGAAATGTATATTACTGATATTAAAAACATAGATTAAATCTTAAATACAACTCAATACCTCACTCTCCTCAATATATAGGTCACTTGAACCAAAAGTAAACAGAGAAATTTCATGATTAAATTGCATTATACAAGTCTCTGTGGTGGCTTGAATATGGCCCCCAGAGGCTCATATATTTGAATGCTTATCCATTAGGGAGTGGTGCTGTTTGGCAAGGATTAGAGGGTGTGGCCTTTTTGGAGTGGGTATGATTTTGCTGGAGGAAGTGTGCCACTGGGAGTGGGCTTTGCTGAAGTCAAATCCAGTGGCTCTCTCTTGCTGCTGCCTGCAGATCCAGATGTGAAACTCTCAACTCCTTCTCCAGCTGTGATGATAATGGACTCAGCCCCTGACATTGTAAGCCAGCCCAGATTAAATGTTTTCCTTTATAAGAGTTGTCATGGCTATGGTGTCTCTTCACAGCAATAGAACACTGACTAGGACAGTCTTCGTAGCATATAATGATTGCTAAGAATTCTAGAACAGGGGCTGGAGAGGTAGCTCAGAGGTTTAACATACAATGCTGTGACAGAGGACCCAGTTCAGTGCTCAACATCCATTTCAGTGAGGTCACTATTGCCCTTAACTCCAGCTCCAGGGGATCCCCGTACCCTCTTCTGGATTCTGCAGGCAACTGCATTAACACATACACACACACACACACACACACACACACACACATACATAATTTTAAAAATGTTCTAGAGCGTTAGACCAATAACAAAATAAATATATTCACAGAGGGTAATATTTCATATATAAGCATATGAAAAAATCAGTATACTCTGCTCCTGGTTTTAAAAACAGAACAAACTTGGGGTGATGGGTTTCGGGTTATCCCAACTACAATGTAAGACCCTATGAAAAAAAATAAATGAGCAACAAAAGCCAAAAAAAAATTGCATTATACATTCAATTAACCTATAGATAAGTACAGAGCATTTTATTCCAGCACCAAAGACCATACATTCTTCCTAGGCCATGGAAGTTTCTCTAAAATAGACTGCATATAAGAACACAAAGCAAACCATTAGAAATTCACAAAAACTGAAATGACTTCTTTCATTCTATCTTACCCCCAATGCAATAAACTTCAAAACAACAGCAAATTAATTTCCTGTCACTCTGTAAACTTATGGAGATAAATGACATATTACCAAAAGATGAATGTGTCAAGGAAAAAATTCAAGAACACAAAGAAAGCAGTGTTAAAAGGAAAGAAAGAAATTCAAAAATTTCAGGAACAAAATGAAAATTAAAACACAACACAGTACTTCTGGGGCACATTAAACACAGTTCCCAAAGAAAGCTTTATAGCTCTAAGTTCTTATATTTAAAAAAAATGAGAAAGAGCACAAATAAATAAATTTATTTTGAATATTTAAATTTCATTAACAGCAATTAACTTTAAAAGAAGCCATAAATTTGAAAGAGAACAAAGAAGGGTATATGGGAGGATTTGGATGGAGGAAGTGGAAGGGAGAAATAATATAATCATATTTAATCTTAAAAAAGAAAAAAATGAAACATAAAACCAAATGATAAGCCTAACAAAAGCAACATATAGACTCAAGGCATTCTCCATCAAAATTCCAATGTAATTCTTCATGCAGATTGTAAAAAATATCTTAAATTTCATATGTACACACCAAATACCCAGGATATTCAAAACCTATTTCGACAAGAACAAAAATATACTGCTGTAGATTTGAAATCCCAGATTTCAAATTATACTTTAGAGCTATAGTATATAGCTGTAGTGGAAACATCATGGTACTGACATAAAACTAGACTCATTGATGAGTATAACAGAATTGAAGCCCAACATATGATTCAACACTATTACAACAACATGATTATTTACAAAAAAGACTAAAAATGTGTATTTTAGAAAACCCAGCATGTTAAACACATTGTATTGATCAAATTGGACAACTCCATGTGAAAATGAAAGTATATATTTTTATCTCTCACCCTACACAGAATTCAATTCCACATGGATCAAAGATCTCGACATAAGACCTCTTGCACTAAATGTACGGGAAGAGAAAGTAGGGAATATGCTTAAATTCATTGACACAGGAAAGGACTTTCTGAGCAAGACCTCCCATAGTGTAGTCATTAAGACTAGAAATTAATAAATGAGAACTGATGAAACAAAAAAGTTTATACATAACAAAAGATATCATCACTAGAGTGAAGAAATAGGAAAGAGGATTAATGCATCTCTCATACTCCTTGGAGAAGCCTCTGTTTGCATTAGGTGATTATAAACACAGTGACCCACAACTAGCCAAGGTGTAGAGAATAAGAGACTGCAGAATGCTGTCCTAATGGAACACACATACTATAACACCCCAACCAAGGCTCAGATATCATTGCAGAAAAGGGTTATAAAGAGTGTAAATGAGGGTGCGGTCCAAGGCGGAAGCAGCGCCGGCGCGGAACACGGTCTGCGGCAGCAATGGCTGCGGGTGTCCCCTGCGCTCTGATCACCAGCTGCTCCGCCACCTTCACCGGGGACCGGCTGGTGCAACATATCCTAGGAACAGAGGATGCTGTTGTGGAAGCAGCTTCCAGCGAGGCAGTGAGGTTCTACCCCTGGACCATCGACAACAAGTACTATTCAGCAGAGGTCAATCTGTGTGTGGTGCCAAGCAAGTTCCTGGTCACTGCTGAGATCGCAGAGTCAGTCCAGGCGTTCGTGGTTTACTTTGACAGCACACAGAAATCGGGTCTTGACAGTGTCTCCTCATGGCTTCCCCTGGCAGAGGCATGGTTACCTGAGGTGATGATCCTGGTCTGTGATAGAGTCTGTGAAGACGGAGTAAACCGGCAGAAGGCTCAAGAGTGGTGCATCAAACATGGCTTTGAGCTGCCTGAGGAGGATGATGACTTCCCTGAATCCACAGGTGTAAAGCGGATTGTACAAGCGTTGAATGCCAATGTCTGGTCCAATGTTGTGATGAAGAATGACAGGAGCCAAGGCTTCAGCCTCCTCAACTCGCTGGCTGGAGCAAACCGCAGCATTGGATCAGCAGAGAGCTGTCACTCAGAGCAGCAGGCCCGGTTGCCAGCAGCTGAGAGGATAGAGTCCCTTCCGGGCCATCGTGGTGGTGCATGTGGCTCAGCAGGTGCACAGGTTGACAGCATTGTGGACCCCATGTTAGACTTGGATATTCAAGAATAGCGAGTCTTACCACTGGAGGAGGAGATCTGTAGAACTTCGAGAGGCTCTTTTCAAAGTTGAAGGAAATGAAAGACAAGGCTGCGACACTTCCTCATGAGCAAAGAAAGTGGCACGCAGAAAAGGTGGCCAAAGCCTTCTGGATGGCCATAGGAGGAGACCGAGACGAGATCGAAGGCCTTTCTTCCGACGAAGAGCACTAAATCCTTCCTGCTGGGTTTGCCTGGCACTGATGCCGGCACTGTGCACTCCAAGTGTTTCCCTGCTCAACCCGGTCCTGCTCTGCCAAGATCGCCGTCATCATGCTGGCCGCTTGACTGTTTGGGGGTTCCCTTAGGTGGGCTTTTAGGAAGGACATAGGGAGACATCTCTGTTCCTGGGTCATGAGTGAATGAGGAGTGAACTGACAGTATTGACATCTTCAGATCTGCATCTTCGGATCTCTATTCTTCGTTTTAAGATCCAGGGTAGAATGAGTCTTAGAGGTCTGTACAGGAGAGCCAGGTGTCAGAGCACACTGTGATCTCAGCACCTTGGGGTCAGAGGCCAACTTGGGCTCCATAAGGCGGCCTGCTTCTTTGCTGAATCGCCAGCATTCACACTGGCTGAAGGTTGGGAGTCTGTGCCGTTTCCTGTATACTTCCCCTGGTCCCCACTAAGAGCCAGGCTCTGAGCTAAGGTGGATGTTGTTGAGAAAAAACGGAGGCAGCTATAGATCTAGTGTGCGCCCGGTGGGTGTGTGGGGGGGACAAGTGGCTCTGGGTTTGTCTCTAAGCAAGCCCTTATGGACATTTGAAGTTCAGTGTCTGGGTTCCTGCCACAAAGAAGTAAAAGTCAGATGTCTGTGTATAAGAAACAAGCAAAGGTTTCCTTCTCTGGGTGCGGGGGTGGGGGGTAAAACACCCCTCTCCCCAGCTGCAGGACAAGGGCCCTTAGTGCAGCACGGTGCTGGTTCTGAGCACACTGCTGACATGCGGGCAACAGTGCGCTCTGACCAAGTGCTGTCCCTGAATATTTGAGATTTCAGAGCTGTGCTGTCACACTTGACGCTCTGAAAGTAAGACAAGTGCTCCTTCTTTCTGTTTGGAAGCCAGAGATCACTGCCAAAGCACTTGAACGGAGCAGTGGGGGAAGGTGAGCCGTTAAACAGTCCTGAGCCACCGCCATGGTTTACCCCAGGGCTATGGGCTCCTCTGCACCTCTCCAGGGCCCGGCCCCTTCTCCTTTATTGTACTTGAGTGCATCAGTGCCAGGGAAGCACAAGGCAACGCTTTAAAGAAGAGAGTAAAGTACAGCAAAGAGCCTTATTCCATCACAGACTCTTTGGGGAGGAGTTTCTGAGCAGGTGCAGCCTGTGATAGATGGTGCCCATCATGGGCTGAGAGCTGGTCCTGATTTAGCATGGGAAACATGGGTGGGTCACAAGCAGAAACAAAGCTCACCTTCCCTGGGTACAGGGACTTAAAACAGATGGTTGGCCAGGCCAGAACCACCACAGGGAGGAGACAGTATCTCAGTGATGGTAGCAATCCAGCGAACAGTGGGTGCTGGCTTGCTCTGAGTCCCTGTGCCTACCCCCTACACCGATCTTGTAATCTTTGAGCCTGGGTTTACACCCTCCCTTCAGTAGTACTGAAACTTTGAAGTGAGTGCGTTAGCCTTTGGTTAAGAAGGAAAATTAGGGAAGTTGACTCTGAGTTGTCAAGAAGGCAGAACATGTTTTTCTTAAAACATGGAAGATTTTAGAAAATTTGTTAGGCTACATGATTAAGTAGACTAGAAAAAGCTGTATTTGATTTTGCTGACTAAACAAAGGCAGGTAATTAAAAGATGGTTTATTTAAAAAAAAAGAGTGTAAATGACATCTTGAGAGACAAGAAATGAATCATGAATCGTTATGGCTCACAGTGATGTGTTTGTGCTCAAATTGACAAGTGATGGAGTACCTTAGTTGGCGATAGATATTAACTTTAATAACCTAGAAGTCACTTGGGAAAAAAACATTAATTGCAAAATTCCCTAAATCAAATTGACCTGTAGCATGTTTATGGAGGAATGTCTTAAGACCACTATGGGCAGTCCATACCTTAGGAAGGTGGTCCTGAGCTGTCTATGGAAGCTAGCATAATCCTGCATTCTCCATGCAACAGCATTCTCCCACGATTTCTGTTGTACTTTTAATGCTGTGGGTGGGTTCCCTGGTTAGAAATAATGCTATGTAGAAAATCAAGTAGTCTTGTCTTCATTAATCCCCTTATATTCCTACCCTGGTTTTTCTCAATGATAACTGTCACCTGGAAGAATAAGTCACATAAATCCTTACCACGCCTAAGGTGCTTTTTATTCATAACTAGCAGTTAATAAAGATTTTCTTTGATGTGTATCCTTGGAAACACTTATTGTTATTTAAATTCTTAATTTTTAATCATTGCCATTCTCACTATAGATAGAATCTTAGTGTAGCTATATTTTAAAACTGTTTTAAGAAAAGAAATTAGTTACTTGAGAGCTTTAGAAATATGTGCTTTGATCATATTCATCTCCCTCACAACCTCTTTCTAAATCCACTTTGACTTCCCTACCCACCCAACTTCGTGTCCTGTATCTAGGCTAACTTAGTGCACCTCAAATATTCTTGAATGTGTGGTCTACCACCTGAGCATGGCTGGCTTCCAAGGAAGTATACTTTTAGAGAAAACTATCTCCCCCTCTCCCAACAACTAACACCAGGCAATAATTCCATGGCTAAGGATGGGATTTCATGCCCAATTGCCATCTCCATTCTACGATTTGTTCTACTCTGGCCTTGCACAGGTTTTGTATATGGTATTGCATCTCCTCCCTCATGTCCAGAAGGCACAACTCTTTTGTAGACATACAATATCTCTGACACTTACACTCTTTTAGACCAGTCTTCCACAATGTAGTTTTGACTTGATTCTCAGAGGTCAAAACTGAGTGCTAGAAAGAAGTCTTGGCAGTTAAGAGCACTTACTGCTCTTGCAGAGAACTGGGGTACAGTTCCACACATCCACATGGAAACCCACAACCTTCTGTAACTCCTATTCCAAAGTATATGTTGCTCATTTCTGACATTCTTGGGCACCAGGCACATACAAGGTACACACACGTACATGCAGGCAAATACTCAAATACATAAAATAAATCTTTACTAAAAATAGATTAAAGGGGGCTGAACAAACATGACCTCTAGAAAAAAGTTACCAAAATCCCACATGCATGCACACAAAGTTCTGCACATAACCAGAAGAACCTTGCAGGATATGTCTTTATTGAGAATTACATAAATACATGTGTGTTTTGAACAAGTCTACCAAAATTATATAACTTCCAATCTCTCCACTACTATTATTTCCTCACAATCTCATGTGTTCTCTTCTTTACAAAAAAAAAAAAAAAAAAAAAAAAAAAAAAAAAAAAAACACGGAATCCATTAGGTGATATCAGTATGTGCATACATAGTAGGCCACCTGCTAGAACAATAGCAGCCTCTTGGGGGTCTGATCTCCAAAGAAAATTGCATTCCCACTCCCAGCACCATTAACTGCCAATAACTCCTCAGCTAGTAATAGGACTTCTTGACCTCATCTGCCCTCCATGCTGGGATTTTCCTGGATCAATCTTGTGCAAATTACCATAGCTGCTGTCAGTTCATATATGGAACTGCCTTGTTGTGTCCAGAAATCACTGTTTTGCTATAGTCAATCATCCACTACCCAGTCATCCAATACCCAGAAAATCTTAGCTATTTCACCTTCCTGGGGCCCTCCATGTGTGTCCCTTCTAGGGTCCCCCTTTTTAAATAACTTCTCTAGGGTTCTAGACTGTAGTCTGATTATCCTGTATTTTCAAGTATACATATCAAAGAAAATCTTTATTAACTGCTAGTGGGCATGTAAACTAATTCAGCCACTATAGGAGTCAGCATAGAGGTTTCTCAAAAAACTAAAAATAGGGCTTCCATATGACTAGGTATATCACTCCTAGATATGCACTCAAAACTATTTCAAGCTATTGTATCATAGAAATATATGTCAATTGATGCTTATTGTAACTTTATTTGCAAAATTGTAACAATATTGCATATTTGTGTTATGTCTAATATCCACTTATGAGTGAGTACATACCACGTTTGTCTTTTTGGGCTTGGTTTCCTCAGTCAGGATGTTTTTTTTTTTTCTAGTTCCATCCATTTGCCTGACACTTTCATGATGTCATTGTTTTTCCCCCATTTAATAATACTCCATTGTGTAAATGTACAACATTTCCTTTGTCAGTTCTTCAGTTTATGGGTTTCTAGGTTCTTTCCTGATTCTGGATATTATGAATAGTGCTGCTATGAACATAGTTGAGTCCTTGTGGTATGATTATGCTTCCTTATGGTATGATCCCCAAGAGTGGTATGTTGAGGTAGATTGATCCCCAATATTCTGAGAAACCACCATAGTGATTTCCAAAGTGACTGTACAAGTTTGCACTCACACCAGCAATGGAGGAGTGTTCCCATTACTCCACATCCTTTAGAGTATAAGCTGCCATCAATGTTTTTGATCTTGGTCATTCTGACAGGTGTAAAATGGTTCCTTGGAGATGTTTTCATTTGCATTTACCTGATGGTTAAGGATGTTTAACAATTCCTTAAATGTCTTTCAGTCATTTGAGTTTCTTCTGTTGAGAATTGTCTTTTTTTACCCCATTTTTAACTAGATTACTTGGTACTTTGGCGTCTAGTTTCTTGAGTTCTTTACATATTTTGGAGATCAGCCCTCTGTCAGATGTGGGATTGATGAAGATCTTTTTCCATTCTGTGGGCTGCCATTTTGCTTACTGACCATGTCTTTTGCCTTACATATGCTTCTCAGTTTCAGGAGGTCTCCTTTATTAATCACTGTTTGTACTACTGGTGTTAAATTTATTTAGGAAGTGGTCTCTTGTGCCAGTGTATTCAAGGCTATTTCCCACTTTCCCTTCTATCAGCTTCAGATAGGATCTGGGTTTCTGTTGAGGTCTTTGATCCATTTGGACTTGAGTTTTGTATAGAAAAATAGATATGAATCTATTTGCATTCTTCTACATGTTCATAGCCAGTTATAGCAGTACCAATTGTTGAATATGCTTTCCTTTTTTCATCGTACAATTTTTACTTCTTTCTCAAAAATCAGGTGTTCATAGGTGTGTGGATTAATATCAAGGACTTCAATTCAATTTCATTGATCCATATGTCTGTTTTTATGCCAATACCAAGCTGTTTTTGTTACTATAGCTGTGTAGTAGATCTTAAAGACAGAGATGGTGATGACCCTGGATGTTCCTTTATTATACAGGATTTCTTTGGTTATCCTGAATTTTTTGTTTTTCCATATGAAGTTAAGTATGTTTCTTTCAATGTCTGTGAAGAGGGGCGGAGACTGGCGTGCAGACGAAGCAGGCAGAGACCGGTGCGAAGACGCAGCGGGCAGAGACCTGTGGACACTGCAGACGAGGTCCACGGTGTGAACGGTGAGCCTAGTCGGGTCCCTGAAGACCACCCTGTGTGGGGAGAGTGTTCTTGGCCCGCGGCTGGACACAGGAAACGGAGCGGGGGCATTCCCCAACTATCTTGACCCCCGGATAGCCTGCAAGGGCTGCTACCCTCTGCTGGGGCTGCTCCTCACCTGCTGAGACCTCTCTCTCCCTGGCATATCCCAGATTAAGCCCAGGGTCCTCCTTCACTCCCCCTCCCTTCCCCTGGGCGCGGGATCACCAAGTTTAGCCTGTTTGGGCGCTGGATAAGGAGCTCAGCGCAGAGGGCAGTGGGAGTTTCTCTGTTTTGGGGGCCTGGCCTGCAGAGGGGTAGGCCTTTTGTTGGCGAGG